GCTGTCAGGCTAATCTTTGAAGGAGAATTTCCTTCTAGTCCCTGACACCTGACTTGGTCAGGCTAGGTGGGGATCCATAGCAACCCCCTAGCAGCCACCAATCAGCATGAGACAGGGAAATACCTGGGATGCCAGATGACCCTCCCAGTAGTTTATGGTGTTGGGAAATCACACAGTTCAGCACGAACACCCCTTTTGGCTTAAACCAATCAGTTCAAACGAATCCCCCTCTTGTAGTAACCAATCACCCCTACCCAACTTGTTCCCGCCAGTGAATGTGCTAATCATGTTTTAGAGTTGTTATTTGATTTTCCCACGGTGTGTGATGATTTGCTAAGAGATGCTATGATGTATGTGGGGGTCCCTGCCTTCTCCAAAGGATGTATAAAACTGCTGCAAACCCTGGGCTCTGGGCCTCTCAGTGTCACCAGTTGCTGTGTGTGCGCGGAGGACCCAGCTAGCTCGCAATAAACACCTCTTTGCTGTTTACATGGATCTTGGTCTCTGGTGGTCTTTTGGGGGTTCCGAATTCGAGCATAACGTTCAAAGATATCACAGAACTTTCTATTGAAGGTTTTAAGCAATTTTGATTCCATTTTTTTAAAATGAGGTAACTTTTTTTTTCATAGCTTTATTTTATTCATTTATTTTTATATAGGTGTTGAGGATCGAACCCAGGGCCTCACATGTGCTAAGCAAGTGCTCTACCACTGAGCCCCAGCCCCAGCCCCATTTACCTACGATTTAAGAGAATGGGTTAGCTAGGCAGGAAGAGCTGGTGGTTGTTGGAGAAGATGGACTGTGGTAGTCAAAATGGGAAGGACTGGGTGTGTTGAAAGTTCTTAGGAATCAGAATCTCTAGGCTTTCAAAGTGAAAGAGTGAGAGAGGGGACCTGGCATTCCATGAATCTAAGAATTGGTTGAAGTTGAGCTTTTGAGTAGGGAATGCAGAGCATTTATAAGGGCTGCAAAGTGCAGTCAGACAGAGTGCTCATGCTTATATTTTACTTGAAGACTGTTATGGTTTGGATGTGAGGTGTCCCCCAAAATCTCAAGAAGGTTCAGAGGAGAAATGACTGGGTTGTGAGTCTTAACCTGATGGCATGGCTTTGCGGTATATATTTTGTATCCGGGGAGCAGAGTCTTCTTTCTTTCCTTTTTTTTTTTTTAAGTGTTTTTTTTTAATACCTTTATTTTATTTACTTATTTTTATGTTGTGCTGAGGATCGAACCCAGGGCCTCACTCTACCGCTGAGCCACAGCTCCAGCCCCTCTTTCTGCTTTCTGATCATCATGTGAGCTGCTTCCCTCCACCACACTCTTCTGCCATGATGTTCTTCACCTTGAGCCCCAAGGAATGGAGCCAGCTTTTTATGGAGTAAGATCTCTGAAACCGAGTGCCCTCAAATAAATTTTGCCTCTACTAAAGCTGTTCTGGTTGGGTCTTTTTAGTCACAGCAGTGAAAAAGCTGACTTAAAACAGAGACAGTTGCAGAAGTAATTATAATGGTGATAAGAAACAATACATTATTCCATCATGCTTTTAATGGTCATATGTATTAACTCATTTAGACTTGCATCACACAAATAAGGTAGAGAAGGTGGTTTTGAGCCCCACTGATATGTAAAGAGCCCAGGGAAAAAGTCTTTGTTCCTCTATTAACCTGTTCTTAAGAGCAGGAGCCTGCAAATGAGGCCTGCAGCCAAAATTATCTATTTTGTGCAGTCTGAGAACTAAGAATGATTTTTTGGGGGGGGGGGGGTGCGGGAGACTGAACTCAGTGGCACTCAACAACTGAGCCACATCCTCAACCCTTTTTTGTATGTTATTTAGAGACAGGGTCTCACTGAGTTGCTTAGCCCAGATCGCTGTTGCTGAGTCTGGCTTTGAACTCCCATCCTTCTGCCTCAGCCTCCCAAGCTGCTGGGATTACAGGCGTGTGCTACCGTGCCCAGGTAGCTAAGAATGATTTTTACATTTTAAGTGGTTGGAATAAAAATAAAAAGGAGAATAATATTTTGTGACAAGTGAAAATTATATGAACTCAAAATGAAATGAATCATCTGAATTCAAATTTCAGTATCTATGATGAAAGCTTTATTGAAATATAGGCACACCCATTCATTTAAGTATTATCTATGACTGCTTTCTTGCTATAAAGGCAAACTGGAGCAGTCTCCAGGGAAATACTCTGTGTTTTGCAAAGTCAAAAATATTTACTATCTGGTCCTTTACAGACACAGTTTGCGGGCCTTTTTTGTTGTTGTTGTTAAAGGAACCCCTTTCTTTTCTTTCTCAAAACCAGGCAAGAAGCCTTTTGGTGTTTAGAGTACAGGAACCACAGCCAGGCCTGTACCTCTGATTAATAGTCCTAGCAATTAACTAGATTGCCTGGCTAACTGGAGGCCACTCCTCATCTCCAGGGGAAACTCTACAAAGCCTGTTCATTGTATTCCAACAACATGGAAGCTCTTAACCAATTATCCTAGCTGGAACCCTCCTTCTCTTTAGGTAGGAACGGAGATGTCTTTCTTGATTCTTGGCTCCCCCTCTTACCCCCAATTCTAACTGGCAAACAGCAGGAAACTTACATAACAAGCAATTTTATGGTGCCTAGGACGTGACAGGCTCTTTTAGTTCTCAGTATAACCCCATGAGGCTGGTACTATTATCATCAGCATCCTCAATTCACCGAAGAGGAATCTGAGGCACAGAGAAACTGAGCCACCTGCCTGAGATGACACTAAAGGATGCCTCCAAGTGGTGCAGGTAGCAGTCGAATCTGTGCAGCCAAGCTCTGCGGGTTGAGTGACAACTAGTCTGTGGTTAAAGACAGGTTTCCCGCGAAGGCAAATTGGGGGTCTTTGTTCTGATCAGAGCACCTGCTGGGCCCGCACACCCTTCCCGGGACCTGGCGCGCCCCCAAGCTGCCGGGGTGCGCATCTCTTCCGCGCGGTGCCGCAGCGGCGCAGAGACCAAAGGGCAACAGAACTGGCCCCAGGAAGGCGAAGGGCGGAGCAACAGGATCTGTGCCGAGCGTGAATAAAGGGAGTGGCGGTCAGGGCCCCGCAGACCCAGAGACTCCCGCCTCCCAGAGGCTGCCTTGGGCGAAGCGCTGAGTCACGGTGAGGAGCCTGTGGCCTCAGAGCCAGCCCGCGGTGCGCTCGGTGCGGTTCCCTTGTCCCCCATCCCACGGAGGCTCCAGGGGCCGCCGCGCCTCGCTCCTTGGCCGCCGCGATCGCTGTGTGAGTGCCTGGGGCTCCCCCAGAGGTGGGCTGGGTGGAGCATGTTGCAGATCGGTTGGCAAGATACCACCTTCCCAACCCTCTTCAGACTCCTGAAATGACTAAAGATGCTGCAATCAATAGTACTGAGATTTTGTCACAGTGCTAGTTGGCTTTTCTTTCCTCAAAGCACTGAAGCCTGTTAAATACCTCATCAGTTGTTCACAGGCATAGAATTTAATTGTGGGAGTCTGGAAGGACCCAGAATAGTCTAGCTGGGGGTAAACAAAGTTTCTAGTTGCTCTCTGGTAGGTAGATGTTGACAGGGCTGTACAGCTCTGAGTATTAAACTCCTTTCTCTGCCTTGCATTCTGTCGCCCAATAAATATTTACTAATTATCCACTGGGGGAGTATACATTTTAGGATGGGCCTTGAGTAACTGGAGGGTATTGCTGGGTAGAACCCCCCTGAGTAACAGCAACTAACATTCTCATGGTACTAACCACACCCCTTTGATATGGGCACTTATTACTCCCACATTATGGATGCAGAAAACTGAAGCATAGAGTCCCAGGTCAAAAGTGAAGTTAGGATGCAAACCTGGGCTGTCTGACTCCAGAATCTGCTTCTCGCTCAAGCATTTTTTTGAATTTCAGTAGGAAACTTTGAAGGAATTAGTTCTATTTCACTTGAAGAAGAGATTTAGAGAACCATAGGTACTATTTGCAAATACTTGAAGCGGAAGTGAAGTTAATTATATCTGTTCTGTGATAGTCCATTGGTTAGAACTTAGACCCCTCAAAGAGGAAACACTCTTCAATAACAAATGCAGAGTATAGGTCCTGAGTATGGAGTGCACCCTCAAGGGCAGTTCACCCATGAGTTGCCTGAGCTTTAGAAAGCTCAAAGATTTCTTTCCTAGAAAGTTGGCCCTGCACTTTAGGGATAGATGTATTTTTGAATTCAATGACCCTTGAAGATCCCTTTCATTGCTAAGATCTTAAGAATGTTCTGGTGAGAGTCATGGACCTCTTGGTTTTGTGTTTCCTATCTTGCCACACAAATCCTCCTCTATCTGACTCCCTACTTCATGAAATAATGAGCAGGGTACTGGGCACCTAGAAAGTACTATCATTATAGTTATTTTAACTCACCTAATCCACACCCTGTATATAGTAAACATTCAATAAATTGTAGCTGTTGCTGGGCGCAGTGGCACACGCCTCTAATCCCAGCAACTCAGTGAGGCCCTAAGCAACTTAGTGAGACCCTGTCTCAAAATAAAAAATAAAAAGGGCTGGGGATATGGCTCAGTGGTAAGGCACCCCTGGGTCCAATCCCTGGCAATCAATCAATCAATCAATTTATAGCTGTTACCCTTTGGGCAAGTCCTAATTTTAATATCCTTTATGTTGTAGTCCTTGGATATTTTCTTCTGTATAACTTCTTTTTTGTTTTCTCTCCTCTTGCCTTTTATCCTCTGTGGCAGAGCATCAGAACACTCTCCTTTTGGATTTCTACATGGGGTCTTCCAAGAAGGTTACCATCTCAGTGCTCAGCCGGGAGCAGTCAGAAGGGGTTGGAGCACGGGTACGCAGAAGCATCGGCAGACCCGAGGTATGTTAGTTGGGTGGCTGCTCCTGTTTTCTTTTCAGAAGGAACTGGTGGGATGTTGAGGATGATTTGGAAAGAGAGGGCCAAGATGGGCATGAGCTTCCCTGTGCAGTGCCATAGATACAAACTCTAAGCTTCATGATTGAGGCCACATGCAGACCATCCCTATCCTAAAGGGAATTTCTAGAATGTGAATACAGAAGTCCGGGGCAACAAGTACAGTTGAGCTTCAGGAAGTGTGTCTGCTTCTGTCTGCACATCCATGTCCTACCTTGGGCTGACCTGCTCTCTGATTTAGCATGTGCATCACTGAACATATAGCTCCTCAGTTTATATGCTCACAATTCAAAGTATTTGGGAGTAATTTTGGGTCTCAATTCTAAATTCCCAGGAGACAGAATTGATTAGCCTAGCATGGGTCAGGTATCTATTCCTGGTCAATCCCAAAGTGTCGGGGATTTGGATTCACAGAGAGACTGCTTAAGACTCAACTCTGTAGACTTCTGGTGAGGGGCCCATAGATGGGGACTCAGTAAAGGTGAGATAGATATTTTCAACATTAGAGAATCTTTTCACTTGAATTATATTGGGAACTTGAGATTTAAAGGGGAATAAATTCTTAGTATCTATTATTTGTCAATTCAAAAAAATAAATAAGAGGTATCAAATAGTAGTCATAGCCCCGGGGCCATACCAGATTCCAAAATTATTTTTGAATAAGAGGAAATGCATAAGAGAAATGGATTCCATTTTGAGAGTTGTCAATCCTCTTAAACTCTATTCAGATTGTACCTTTTTTTTTTGTTTTGTTTTATTTATTTATTTTGGTAACGGGGATTGAACTCAGGGGCACTCAACCACTGAGCCACATCCCCAGCCATATTTTGTATTTTATTTAGTGACAGGGTCTCAGTGAGTTGCTTAGAGCCTCACTGTTGTTAAGGCTGGCTGTGATTCGCGATCCTCTTGCCTCAACCTCCCTATCCACTGGGATTATAGGCGTGTACCACTGTGCCGGGCCAGTACCTTGTTTTAAAAATATTTTTTAGTTGTCAATGGACTTTTATTTTATTTCTTTATATGCGGTGCTGAGAATGGAACCCAGTGCCTCACATTTGTTAGGCCAGTGCTCTACCACTGAGCTACAACCCCAGCCCCTCAGATAGTATCTTGCTACTTTGTGGCTAAACCTAAGTTTTATGCCACTCATTGCATAAGACTTACTGTCTGCACCTTTAAACAAAAAGTTATCTTTGAAAATTGCTTACAGGGTTTTTAAAACATGGCTTTCCTCAGTGAATGTGGCTGTGCATTGTTGATAGATTGGATATTTTTTTAAAAGTAGTTATTTATTTTTTTGAATTAATCCCCTGATGGGATTAAACCAGTGGTAACTGAAGGCAGGCAGGGTGTGGCTGGAGAAGGTAGGCACTGGGAGCGTGGCTTTGGGGGGACACCTCACATCTAAACCACAACATATGTGTACATTGTGAAATGGCTAAATGAAGCTAATTAACATATGTATTACTTCACATCATATTTTTTTTTTCTTTTAGTGGTGAGAATGCTGAAAATCCCTGGTCTAAGTAACTTCCAAGGGTACAATACATTGTCATTAATTGTAGTCCCCATGTTGTGAAATGGATCTATTAAACTTGTTCCCTAATTGAAATTTTGTGACCTTTGACTAACATTTCTCCAGCATCCCCACCCCCACCCCTGGTAGCCACTGTTCTCTGCTTCTACTTGTTTAGATCCCACATATAAGTGAGATCACGCAGTATTTATCCTTGTGTGCTGACTTTATTTCACTGAGCAAGAATATTGCTGACTGGCCATTGAAGTAGGGGGTGAATTGTCAACCTAATTCTGCAGCCAGTCTACCAGGTTTCCCTGGCTGTTACTTGCTATTTCTCTTTACAGGGTTAACTTCTTGTTTACCCACAAATATCTCTCAAGGCCCATCAAATATTGTTTGCCAAGGATACATGCAGACTGGTTGGTACTAAGAGCTAAATGCGTAGGGGCAGATGGAGGTGGTGTCATATTCTACTATGCTCCATCAACAACAGAACAATTGGAAAGATTTCTCAAACACTACAGACACCTCTCAGTTAACTGTTATTGTATGTCAAGGGTAGCTAATACTTTAATGAGTCCAACCATCAAGAACACATTTGCTGAGGATTTTCTGAAAAAGAAATTTTGATCTGTTTGGTGGTCTGATGAAACCTATCAATTCCTTTGCAAAACAATGTTTTTAGATATATAAAATAGCTGGGTGCTATGGTACATACCCATAATGCCAACCACATGGAAGACTGAGGCAGGAGAATTGCAATTTCAAAGTCAGCCTCAGCAACTTAGGGTCTCGCTAAGTTGGTTAGGGCTTCACTGTCTCTAAATTTAAAAATATTAAAAAAAGAGCTGGGTGTGGTAGTGCACACTTGTAATTCCTGCAGTTTTGGAGGCTGAGACAGGAGGATTGCAAGTTCAAAGCCAGCCTCAGCGAAAGCAAGGTGCTAAGCAACTCAGCGAGACCCTGTCTCTAAATAGGGCTGGGGATGTGGCTCAGTGGTTGAGTATCCCTGAGTTCAATCCCTGGTACCCACCCACCACCCCACAAAAAAACAAAACAAAACAAAAAAATTAAAAAGGGCTGGGGATGTGGTTCGGTGGTTAAGCACCCTGGATTCAATCCCTGGTACCAAAATAAATAAATAAATAAATACGTAAAATAAACCACAGAGGATTACCAAGAAAAAATTTTATACTACAATATGGTTAAAATTTTTGAGAACCACTGGTGCAGTGCTGTACACCTGTAGTGCCAGCACTCCTTGGGCTGAGACAGGAGCTTTGCAAGTTTGAAAGCAGCCTCGATAACTTAGTGAGACCCTTATCAACCGAGGGAGACTGGTTTTGGAGAATGCTCTTAACACACAGCTGAACCTAATCCTAAATGATATAAAGCCAATAATACCTGAGGTAGCAGGGTACAATCAAGTGATTCTAGGTTAGCCTACATCAAGACAAGATTGTAGGGCTGGGGTTGTGCCTCAGTGGTAGAGCACTTGCCTTAAATGTGAGGTACTGGGTTTGATTCTCAGCACCACATATAAATAAAAAATAAAGGTCCATCAACAACTAAAATGAATGAATAAATAAAATTAAAAAAAAAGACAAGATGGCAGCAGCAAAGGGAGACCCTCCTCACTAAGTTATTCATGACCCTATTTTTGACCATTTAGGTTCTTGCTGTGTTTTTGTTTGTTTGTTTGTTTTTTGGTACTGAGGATTGAGCCCAGAGGCACTTAATGACTGAGCCACATCCCCAGTCCTTTTTTATTTAGAGAGAGGGTCTCACTGAGTTGCTTAGGGCCTTGCTAAGTTGTTGAGGCTGGCTTTGAACTCATTATTCTCCTGCCTCAGCCTCCAGAGCTGCAGGGATCACAGGCGTGTGCCACTGTCCTGAATGTTGCCATGTTTTCTCAGCACTACGCACTACCATCTTGTCAGAAAGGTAGACCCCTAGTCTCATCAGCAGAGAATAAAGCCATTTGTCTAATGTCAAGGAAGTTACTTTTCAAATTCTCTGCACTAAGGTTTAGATCTCTGAAGAAATATCTCATAAACATTGGATCCCAGTGCTATTTTTTGTACAAGGGATTGAACTCGGGGGCACTCAACCACTGAGCCACAACTCCAGATCTATTTTGTATTTTATTTAGAGACAGGGTCTCACTGAGTTGTTTAGCACCTCACTATTGCTGAGGCTGGCTTTGAACCTCCAATCCTCCTTCCTTAGCCTCCTGGGCTGTTTTACAGGTGTGCGCCACTGCGCCTGGCTCATATCCATGTTTTTAGTATCCACAATGATTGACTCATGGGCAATCATTTTGTGTATATCCTCCTCTATTTCTCCCCTTAAAGCATTTTGAAGGGACCCCTAGCCATCTTTTCATTTATATATATATTTTCAGTCTATAAAAGAGAAAAATTGAAAATATATGTATGAATACAATCCCATTATCACACTTATAACTTAAAATAATTACTTAATATCACCAAATAGCCCTGCCAAATCTTGGTCTTCATTGATTTAGCCCCTGTAGCTGGTGCTCACCATTATCAAGATACTGAGTTAAGGTAGAGGGTGTAAGAGTCACAGCTCAAGATAGTTCAAGGCTTTATCTAGATTTCTGTCTGGGATATGTGCTTGTGGTCTCCTAAAACCTCAGGCCACAGTCTAGATGCTGAGTAAGCCTAGGAGGTTAAGCCTCTGAGCTGCTAGAGGGCCTCCCTTTTTTGCTGCCATCTTGTTTTGATGTAGGCTAACGTAGAATCACTTGATTGTACCCTGCTACCGCAGGTATTATTGGCTTTATATCATTTAGGATTAGGTTCAGCTGTGTGTAACAGCATTCTCCAAAACTAGTGGATAACAGAAGTGTTTGTATTTCTGTTTTGTAAAGCCCCAAAATAGGCAGTCAGGGGGTTAAAGGCCTCACTGTTCCTCATTCTATCTTAGGTCATAATTCTTGTTTATTCCTTATGGTCCAAGACAACTATTAGGGCTATGTTAGTCATCTTTACATTGCAGTGATCAAAATACCTGACAAGACAATTTAGAGGAGGAAACATTTAGACTCATGGTTTCAGAGGTTCAGTTCATGGTAGGCCAACTCCATTGCTTTGGGCCTGAGATGAGGCAACATCATGGCGGAAGGGCATAGTGGAGGAGTGCTGCTCTGTTTCTGGCAGCCAAGAAACAGAGGGGAAGAATCCAGGAAGCAGAGAGAGGGGTAAGGGGCCACAGGGAAGATGAACCCTTCCAGGTATGTTCCCAGTGAGCCACCTCCTCCAGTCATGCCACCCCTGCCTACAGTTACCACATAGTTAGTTCATTCAAACTAGGATGGATGCTTTAGGTTACAGTTCTCATAATCTGATCATTTTGCCTCTGAATATTCCTGCATTAACATAGGAGCTGGGGGGCAGGGGCATACCTTATATCCAAGCAACAACAAGGGCATCAACAACCATTTACACTCGGCCACACAAAGGAGGAAGAGGGGAAAGGAAAAAGAACACACCTCAGCTGTCCATCCCCCTTTTATAAGGAATTTTCCTAAAGGCTCCACTCTGTAATTTCTACATTGTGGCTAGTTTCAATCATATGACCACACCTAGCTACAGAAAACTAGGGAATCTAACACAAGTACTACTCAGGATTTTTTGTGGGGTACCTTCCTTGTATATAGAAGTATTCTAAATTCAGTGGAGCATCATAACAAAAGCACAGCCCTAGCATCATAACAAAAGCACAGCATGTGTCCTATCCCCAGGGAACTGCCATTCCTAGTTGGTACTTCCAGTGCTTCCTGACTTAAACAAATACCAGGCTGCTGGAGTTTTATTATGCAAGTGCTGTGGGCCAAGGGGTGGTGACCACAGATTTTGATTGACTTTCTCAGGAGATCAAAAGAAATAACTTGGAAGATACAGCTTGAATTTGGCAGTTAAAGGATTTGGAAGTGTGTACAGGAAAGGAAAAATTTAAAAGAGCATCAATTTGATATGTAGAGAAAGAAATATGTGATTGAGTTGGGGTCTTAGTTAAAACAGGTTAGAAAATCAGTTTTCATATAAACTGATCTTATATACAGATAACATATTTATTTAACACATTGTGGAATCTATGCTCAATGTTTAGAGAATATTAGGAACTTTGATAAGGACTATTTTTTTCTTTTTTAAAATATCTTTATTTTGTTTGTTTGTTTATTTATTTATTGTTTATTTATATATGGTGCTAAGGATCGAACCCAGTGCCTCACATGTGCAAAGCAAGTGCTCTACCACTGAGCCACAACCCCAGCCCCAAGTACTAATTCTTGACCCTGCAAATAACACTTTAGTACAATAGTTTAACACAAGATACTCATACTTATTGGAGAAAGATAGTCTCTAACACTGTCTTTCACCTTTTGGCCACTAAAACTGGTTGTTACAGAGCTGGGGCCTTCTGGGAAATTGAGGCATGAAGAGACCCCCCCCTTCAAACCCCAGTTCTTTGGATCAAGTCAGAAAGATTTCAGACATGTCACTCAAAGTAACAGGCATGAATTGATTGAAGGTATAGAAAAAGGGAAAGGAGACACTCTCAAGGGAGAGAGAGGGTCCTATGAGAGATACGAGGGACAGTTTGCCTCTCTTGCACTCCAGTTTTATTGGGGATCCCAGAGAAGTTTCCAGAGACTCCTGCCCAGGTTCACTTCTTGACTTTTGACTGACAGCAGGGTGACATCAGACATCTACATCCCCACTGCCGTGACCACTCTAGTTATATTGGGCCTTGCTGACTGGTTCTAATTGGATTCTTAACCTTTCTTTTATGGTTAAGATTTTATGGTTAGGTTAAGATTTTATGGTTAGGAAGAATTACCCTTATCTCCCTTGAGTTTCAGGATCTGGTCACCAAAGTCTCCTGGGTTCCTCCCATCAACTTTATCTTGGGTCTGCATTTCGCCTGCAGTTAACAGGTAGTTTGCTCAGGAATGTGACATATCGGTCCAATTATGCCCTGCAGGGCTGCAGGTAAATTGCTTCTTGAAAAAGAAAGCATGTGGGGTCAACACAGTGGGCCCATCTTATAGAATTATTCTCTTGTGTTCCCACCATCCTCATCTGTCTGTCCCCTATCAAGGTCATCCCTCTGACTCGCTTCAACCAACCCCCTGGCTTCTGTAATCTCTTCCTGGTCATGGCTTTCTTCCTGTGTGTGTTGCTACATCATGGTTTGGTGACCAGTATTACAAATAGTTTTGATATGGTTGAAATTATCCTCAAATTGATATGTTGAGACCCTAATCTCGAAGGTGATGTTATCAGCAGGTGGAGGCCCTCAGGAGGTAGGTCATGGGGCTGGGACATACCATAGAGTCAGCTGGCCCCTTCCAGTATGTGAGGACACAGCTAGAAGTTGCCATCTATGAACCAGGGGGTGGATCCTCACCAGATTCTGAATTTGCTGGTGCCTTAATCTTGGATTTCTCAGCCTCCAGAACAATAAGAAATATACATATATATATAGTCATTTATAAGCCACTCAGTTTATGGTATATTGTTTTAGCACCTCAAAAAGAATAAGAAAATTGGCACCAAGAGAGGGGTCATTCTTCCATTGTTTTGGACAATATATCCTAGCTTCTGTTTAAAATGGCTCCTTATCAAGTGGTGATTTGGCCACATCCTTGGTTTTTCTCCCACACATTTCTTTACAATGAGAAAGCTTTATTCCAAGTAGGCTGAGGATTTTCCAAATCTTTTAAGCTCTACTTCCCTTTTAATTAGCAATTATTTATTTATTTATACTGAGAATTAGACCCAGAGGTGCTAAACCATGGAGCCACAACTCTAGCCCTTTTTATTTTTTATTTTGAGACAAGATTTTGGCAAGTTACTTAGGGCCTCACTAAGTTGCTGATGCTGGCCTTAAATTTGTAATCCTCCTGCCTCAGCCTCCAGAGCTGCTGGGATTATAGGTGTGTGCCACCATGCCCAGCTTAATGATTAACTCCTACATGTACTTTAAGACCTCCTTTATTCTACCTCATTCTCACATGTGTAAAATTGTCTTTCCTTAGAGCATTTACAATCACATTGCATTACTTGGTTTTGTAGTCTGTTCCATTATGAATCTGTTTAGGACACAGATGATCTTATTTGTACTTCACTATTTATATCTCAAGTGATTATGAAATGTTTGTTCACTCTTAGTAAAACATCAACTCTCTAACACAATCAGCAAAAAAAAAAAAAAAAAAAAAAAATTCCCTATTGTTGCAGGAATAAGGAGTTCTTTTTTTAAAAAAAAATTTTTTTTGTTTTTGGTACCAGGGATTGAACTCAGGGGCACTCAACCACTGAGCCACATCCCCAGCCCTATTTTGTATTTTATTTAGAGACAGGGCCTCACTGAGTTGCTTAGCACCTTGCCATTGCTGAGGCTGGCTTTGAACTCGAGGTCCTCCTGTCTGAGGCTCCCGAGCCACTGAGATTATAGGTGCGTACCACCGTACAGGCAGAAATAAGGAATTCTTCCTGAAAGCAATTTTCATCACAAGAAGTTGCTTTCTGGCTATGTAGTTTTTGATGAGTTTTGCTAAATTGGTTCATGAATGCAGTCTCTGGTATCATGGCTGAAAAAGCACATCTAATCTGATGAATTATATTTTGATTTCAGTTAAAAAATCTGGATCCGTTTTTACTTTTTGATGAATTTAAAGGAGGTAGACCTGGTGGGTTTCCTGATCATCCACATCGAGGTTTTGAAACAGTAAGTATGATAATTTGCTTGTGAAAGTGTGTATTTTAAAACTCACTTCTAATTGAAAATTCAATTTTGGAATAATGGATAATAGACTAAAATTCATTTTATAAGTTTCTGGCTATGCACTGTCTTACCATAGAACTGTAATATCAATTTTACATGAGATGTACTCAAGTTTAAATATTTACTATTAATATTCTTTGGATTTGTGCCACTGGAGGCATTTCATTTGAGCAGTTAATAAGCAAAAATTGGCTTCTTTAAGTACTTTTATAATTAAAAAAATTTATTGGAGATGAAAAAACTATTTAAGATGTGATTAGTTATATCTATCTATCTATCTATATTTCTATTTCTATGCAAGAATAGATACATTTAACCTCATGTAATATAAACCCCCAAAGACAATTCAAGAACTCAGTGAGTATTTATACTAGGTTCTAAGAAATTATAGAATCAGGGGGCCAAAATGCAACATAGCCTAAAAATTAGGGTTTTGAGGACATACTTAGACCTTTGCAAGTTTAATTGCAAAATTTAGAGATTCTGTTGAATAATATTTTTAGTTTTGATTAGATATGGAAAAAATATGCAATATAATATTGTGGCACATTCAATGTTTTCCATATATATATATATATATATTTTTTTTTTTTTTTTTTCTGGGAAAACTCAGTGACACTTCCTGTTACAAAGTTTAGCCATTTGCTCTTTATTATTATTTTTTTTAATATTTATTTTTTAGTTTTCAGTGGACACAACATCTTTATTTTATTTTTATGTGGTGCTGAGGATCGAACCCAGTGTCCCGCGCGAGCGCGTTACCACTTGAGCCACATCCCCAGCCCTGCTCTTTATTCTTAACAAATAATCCAGGGCTTGTTAAAGGTTTAATATATTTGCAAAGCCAATTAGTGAATAAGTAAATATTTACTGAAGGCTGGTGACATGCAAGTGTTGGTATAGGGTGATCTTTTGTATTTACATGTGTTTATTGTGTGTTGGGGACTGTTGGTACAAGGCAGAAGGAGTGAGGCTAAAGAAGAATGGGGCATGATCCTTACTCATATCCATATGTGGTCTAGTTAAGGATATGAAAGCTGGCTAGAGAGTTAGCCATCATTGTGTAGAAGTTAAACGAACCCAGAAACTTCTAGAAACAGGATCAGGGTAGTTGGGATCTGTCTTCCTTTAGCAATTTGCCATCTAGTTCATCTCTGCTAATATATAGGGAGCACTGTGCTTTACATAAACAGCAATTTCGGGAGCCATGTGTCTCATGTTCTCTATATCCATGTTGGATTCCAACACTTTTCCCAGAACATGTCTCTGCATACCTCCCTCTAGTTTCCATCTTACTAATCCCTTAAAAAATTTTTAAAACGTCATTATGTCTATCAAGTTTTCCAGACAATCCCAAGAGGATGCACTTTCTCCTTTGTTTGATCTGCGTAGCGTTATATTTTTTACTAGTCTCACATCCATTATATATTAAGGGTGATCTTGATCATTTTCTTTCTGTCTTGTGTTAGAGTTGGGACTTACCTCAACCTCCCCTCACCACACCCAAGAAAACTGTAAATTGCTTCAGTAACTACTGGCTAAAATTAATTGGATAATAAAGATGACTTTTGCTGAAGACAACAAGTATATTTAATAAAATGAATGGGGAAACATATTACTTTCATTTCCATTATGGAAAGTGCCTTCTAAGGGGACTGTTTTATATATTGGAAGGCATTCAACTTTAAAAACTCAACTGTCAAATATCCATGTTTGGGGCTTTCTTTTTAAAAAATTTCCTTAAATCTGTAAATTAGTAATCACAAGTGATGCTCATTATTTGTGGATTGCATATTCATGAATTCACCTACTTGGAAAATTCACTGGTAACCCCAAATCAATACTTGTGGGGCTTTTGTGGTAATTCATGGACATGTATGGAGTGGTGCAACTTTGGAGTTGCCCAGTGTTCATGTTCCCAGCTAAGGTTGAATAAGGCGATGCTCGGCTTTCTTGTTTCAATTCTCATAATGTAAGCAAGTGTCCTTTTCATGGTCTTAGTGCCACATTTCTTATATTTTCATGCTTCTTCTTGGTCATTTCACTGTTTAAAGTGGCTCCCAAGCATAGTTCCACAGTGCTGTCTAGAACCCCTACGCACAAGAATACAGTTAATGTAGGGCTGGGGTTGTAGCTCAGTGGTAGAGTGCTTGCCTCGAATGCGTGAGGCCCTGGATTCGATCCTCAGCACCACATAAAAATAAACAAATAAAAATAAAGATATTGTGTTCATTAACTGAAAATAAATAAACAAAGAATACCGTTAATGTGTCTTTTCTCATGGAGAACAGTGTATCTTACATAAACTGTGTTCATGTATGAATTGTAGCACTGTTGGCTGAGAGTTCAATGTCAATTAATTGACAATACATATTACATAATGTGTCTTTAAACAGAAACACATAAAACAGAGTCAGATATTGACAGGTTGACAAAAAATACTATGGAGGCTCGAAGGAACCCAATCCTGTATTTCCTGTAGGAACAGTGGTTCAGCATTCATTAATCCAGTGATCATGGTAACTTTATAAAACATAACTGCCTTGAATCATGAGAAATGACTTTGTCGGTTTTCCCCACGAGGGTTGGTAAGCCAGGGACTCTTATCTCTTCATATGGACTTTAAAAAGTCTACGATTTAAAGCCAAGTTCAGTGCTGGGGATGTGGCTCAAGCGGTAGCGCGCTTGCCTCGCATGCGTGCGGCCCGGGTTCAATCCTCAGCACCACATACAGACAAAGATGTTGTGTCCGCCGAAAATTAAAAAATAAATATATATAAAAAAAAAATAAAGCCAAGTTCACCTGTAGTCTCTCATCACCTTTTCTCTGGAGGTTTATCTAACTTATACAGGCTTATAAATTTTGAAAATGCTGGCAAATATAAAGAACAAAATTAGGATGTGCTGTTATGTTACCTTAGTGTACAAAAATATTGTTATTTTTTATCTATTTTCCTCTAGTACTTTTCTGTTATCTTGCTATATATGTTTTGCATTTTTTTAACCTAACATTATACTGTTAGCATTTTTCTAATATTCTTCAAAAACCTAATTTTTATTGGTCTCATTAAGTATCTGCCATGATGATTGTACCAATTGACATTATCTTGGTGAAGTATGAAAGCAACTATTTTCTTTCAATATCACCAACATAATGCATTTTTAAATCTTCTTTGCCCTTTTTCTTTCTTTCTTTCTTTCTTTTTTTTTTTTTTAACTGGGAATTGAAACAAGAGGCGGGTGCTTTATCATTGAGCCATATCCCCAGTCTTTTATTAAATTTTTTTTTTATTTTGAGACTGGATCTCACTAAGTTGCTTAAGGCCTTGCCGAGTTGCTGAGGTTAGACTGAAACTTGTGATGCTCCTGCCTCAGCCTCCTCAGTTGCAAGGATTACAGATGTGTGCCATGGATCCCAGCTAAATCTTTGCTATTTAGAGAAGTGAAAAACAATGCCTCATCATAGTTTTAATTGACATTTCTTTTATTTGAGCAAGACTGATTTTCTTTTCATTTTAAAACATTCATTTATCATAGATATTTAGATCTTTGCCCTATATTTTTTCTGTTGTGCTGTATTGTCAATAGTGTGTAAACCATGAGTATCTTCTTTTCAGGCTAATCTAAACTTTGGCAGGACTTGCCAAGGTTTATTCTTTTTTGGCAGGGGTGGTGGTGGGGTGTGCTGGGGATTGATTTCAGGGGCACTCAATCACTGAGCCACATCCCCAGCCCTATTTTGCATTTTATTTAGAGACAAGGTCTTACTGAGCTGCTTTAGCGCCTCGCCATTGCCGAGGCTGGCTTTAAACTTGTGATCCTCCTGCCTCAGCCTCTTGAGCTGCCTGGATTACAGGCATGCACCACCCCATCCAGCTCAAGGTTTATCCTTATTGGTATTATTTTTATTATTTTACATAAGTTCCTTATATATTAAGGAAACAAGATCCTCTTAGTGATAGGAGGTGAAATAGTGTTAAGAAAGATTAGAATGTTTTGCATGTCTCCAAACAAAGCATAGATACTAGTTAATAGAAGAACTTTCTAAACTGGGTGTGGTGGTGCATGCCGGTAATCCCAGTGACTCAGGAGGCTAAGGCAGAAGGATTGCAAGTTCAAAGTCAGTCTCAGCAATTTAGCAAGAGCCTGTCCCAAAATAAAAATAAAAAGGTCTGGGGATGTGGCTTAGTGGTTAAGTGCCCCTGCATTCAATTCCCAGTACCAAAAGATTTTAAAGAAGACTGAGCAGTAAGGGGTGGAATAATTTTGCAGTTATCCAATTTTTAGACTCTCCTGATATGATAATTTGTTTAGGGAAGCTATAAATAATCACAAGCACAGGATGATCTAAAAAATAAGAAAGCCCTGCCCAAGTTTAGTTTAGTTCAAAAAAGAGGTACTTAGCTAGGTGTAGTGGTGCATTCCTGAGATCCCAGTAGCTCAGGAGGATTGTGAGTTCAAAGCCAGCCTCAGCCATGGTGAGGAGCTAAGCAACTCAGTGAGACCCTGTCTCTAAATAAAACACAAAATAGGCTGGGGTTGTGGCTCAGTGGTCAAGTGCCCCTGAGTTCAATCCCCAGTACCCGCACCCACCCCCTCAAAAAAAAAAAAAAAAAAAGAGGTACTCACAGCACACACCTATCCTGAGAAGAAACATATTTTGTGTCTTTCAAAATCGCCCTTAAATTATGGTCTTAAGTCTTCCCAGGTTTTATCACTGAAAAGTCTCATGTCCCTGGGAACCCCTCAGGCCTGAATAAACTGAGATGGTTAGTGGTTACTCCTGCGTCATTTTAGGATGGTCTCATTCATTATGTTCTTAGTTAGGCTAAAAAGTATTTTTAAAAAAGTTTTTCACTACAAGCCTCAGCAGGTCCTTTGATTTTCTTCATGAGAACAAAACCACCCTGTTTCCAAGGGTGTGCCTATCAGAAAAGCCACAC